AGAGAGCGTTAACCTTAAACAAAGCTTCATTTGAATGAACCATAATTTCAAGTGAGGCGTTGTGCTCACATATTAAAATTTATAGCGCAAGATGGACTCTCCCAAATAAGTAATATTAGATATAATGTGAGAGAGTATAAAATTTATTTCAACTTTAAGTGAAGATTTAAACTAAGAATAGTTGTGGATTGATGTAGCATATTATGACATGAATTATTTAGTGTTCTATCTATAACTAATATCAGTTGAATTTGATTCAATAAGTGATATTTTAAAAAAATATTATGTTTTAAAATGTGCTAACAAACATATTAGCATAAACATTTAGTCAATCACATTTTCGAGAGAAGCATGATATAATACAAATAAATGATATTTTTCAAGGTCAATAAAGGAAATGCTCAATATTTTAATTTTTTTTTAGGATATTTGAGAGAGCTTAATCACAATCGTACGCACCTAAAAATTGCTTGTTTGACAACAAAAACTCTTAATCAACAAACTAAGATGCCCAGCATAAGATTTCATTTCTATGTACTTATAATTAATTATAATATTTTGACGTCAAGTGGGCCGTTTCTTATATAGTTATGCTTGATATTAGTTTTTAATGGGCCGCGCATGAATCCATCCAAACTTGGACATAAATTTACAAGAAGTTATAACTCCTGAAAATTTTCATAATCGAATTTTTTTTCACCTAAAGTTTGTTGCAATAATCGAATTTTTTTCTGCAACCACCTAAAGTTTATTGCAATAATTTTTTTTTTCTTGATTGTTGGTTTGGGTCACATTTATAGTTCACATGATGAAAATTTTGTATAATTGATTAATAAAAATAACAATACGGACATAAAAAGCGATAGAATATGAAACTATGAAGATTTTTTTCTTAGTATTTACGTGAACCACAATCAAATCATCGAGTATTTGATAAAAGTGTAATATATGGTTTTACATTTTAATTCAGTATTTGATAGAAAACAATGCAAGATGGTGAATGTTTTGTAAATAGCAATGTTTATGGCGTCATTATATATATATATATATATATATATATATATATGAGTTTTTTGAGGTTGTTTCTTTATAATAAAATTTAATAAAATTTTTGATAAAATACGCCAAGGTTTTTGAGAAGTTTTAGATTAAAATCCATCAAAAGTTCACTATTATTTTTTTTGCGTTCAGCTGGTTTGAGTGGCTTTGCCCCAATCTTAAAGAATAAGTTTTATCTAAAATTTGTATATTTTAAAGAAAATTTTACTGAAAAAGTCCTTAGTGAGTGTAGAAATTCCTACAATCAACCAGAGTTGTATTAAATTCTCTGAATGTTAACATAAATTTAAATTGTACTAAAAATAATTTCTAAAACTAGTAAAAATAAAAATTTTAAGATGGGCTCGATATAAAAATCAAAACCAAATTTAAAAACTTGTACCTCTTAAATATGAAAAGTCTAAAACAGGCTGCGAAGTTTAAAATGCCCTAAGAGTCATGCCCACTTCTTTGTCATCTTAATGGTCTTCGAAAGAGCCCATACACCATGGAGAGTGAGAAAATGTTTGCATCCGAAGTTTGGATGTGCGGACTTCAATAATAAAATGTCATTTATAAACTGGCAAGACCCGATTTCATGAATTAAAAAAATGTGAAAAATGCTATTTTTTGCCCGACCCGCCCCAAGGACTGCTCGTTGCATAAAAAAAATATCACAATAATACCAACAACAATATTAGTAGTATTTAGGCAGTATTCAGATAGCATTATAGCAGTATTGTGGTGATATTATTGTGTTATTTTGCTGGTATTTTGATGGTATTATAGTGATAATATGGTGATATTGTGATGATATTTTGGTTGTATTCTAGTGATATTATGGTGACATGCTTATGATATTATTGCGATATTTTGGTAGTATTCTTGTGGTATTTTGATAATATTTTTTTAATATTCTGATGATACTATGGTGATATTCTGACGATATTTTGGTGATATTGTGATGATATTTTTGTGATATTTTGATATATCAGCAAAATGACACAATTATACCACCATAATATCACAAAAATACCACGAGTATGTCATCATAATATCACCATAATATCACTAATATACTAGCATGATACTACCAGAATATTATAAGTATATCACTATATACTATGAGAATATTACAATTATACCACCATAATATCAAGAGAATTTTACAAAGTTACCACCAAAATATTATCATAATACCGCTAGAATACCACCAAAATATCATCAAAATACCACCAAAATATCATCAAAATACCATAACAATACCACAAGAATACCGCCAAAATACCACAAGTATTATTGTTGGTGTTATGATGGTTTTTCTTTTGATGCAACAGGCGGTCTTCGAGTTTGGTCGTGCGAAAAAATTTCTTTTTTCACTTTTTTTTTAATTTGTGAGATTCAGTCTCACCACTTTATAAATGACGTTGTATTATTAGAGTTCGCACGTCCATACTTTGGATGCAGTATTTTCTCTTGGAAACCTTAGTTTAACTCTCTCATTAAAACTATTTTTCATCATGGGTCGGTGATGGGAAAATCTTCTTCCTTCTGAGCGGAATTCTGTTGAATGTTGGCTTGCGTTTTCTCCGGTGAGGCAACAGCAAGAGAGGTGAGATCCGAAACATTCTTAATAGCTCTGCAATCCGAATACACCCTATCTTCTGTTTATTACAACCATCGAATGTCATCATTTACATGATCACATTGCTTCTTCTTTCCATTATTATTATTACAATTATTTTGCTACTTCTATGATAACGAATCAGTGATATTAGTGAACTAATTTCCATGCCGAGTTTTTTGGAATAACTACAATTTTCATTTTCTTCTTTCTCATGGGAATTTACTGCTTTGCCTTATTTTTACTGATCATCTATCCTTTCTGTGGCCAGTTTGATCTCATAGAGTAACTCCTAACGTTTCCCCATATTTGAGCTCATTTAAACTGATTTACAATTAACTGTATTGTTGATTAAAGTTTTACTGCAATAATTGGTTCCATTGATGTCATTTACAAGTTTTTATATTTATTGATAGGCTATATCAGCTTTCAGTACTGCTCCAGCTCATTCAAATTATTTCTTAAATCTTGCCGAATTACAAAATTTATTATTCTCATTCAGTTGATGCAAGCAGAGTAATTCTAAACATAAATTCAGTATGATTCATACGCTATCAATAAATGATCATCATCCGGTGAGGCCTTGGACGGATTTCAGAATGATCTCTTGTACAGCAAACATTAAAACTTGAATCAAAATTTATTCAAAGCTCCAATTTCAATAGATTTATAGCTAAACTGGCCAACTTGATGAGACAGACCCAATAATATCAAAATTGGTCTAATTCAAGTAAAATTGAGTGCAAATCAAGTCATTAAATTACTTTTAAAAGTTTTTCAGGCATATTAGGAATATCAAACGAATGTCGAATCTAGCGAGTTTATAGTTAAATCAAGCTTATCGGTGAGCAAAATTCAACGAACCCAAAATAACTCAATTTTAACATCATTAAGACATTCAAATGTCCATCAAAAGTTGTCTCATCAAGAGAATCTCTCTAGACCATCAAATCAAAGTGATTCATATTCTTGAATTAATTGCAACTGAAAGTTTATCAATGGAGCTCTATCCCTTTCATGAGAGGGTTAGAAGAGTTTGAAGCTTAAGAATGAGTTGAAGTCCAAACTTACTTCGTTGTTGACCGTCGCCGACCACCAACCGCCAACCGTCGTCGAGCATCACTCGCCGGTGGTCATAGATCAGCATCGCCCGCCGGTCACTTTTTACAATAAGTTCATATGCACATTGACTTTATAGCTTAGAAGATTGTATAATCATTTCCTGCATGTGGGACAAAAGACTGCACTTGTAATTTTCAGTTTATAGTGAATTTCTTCAGCTGGGCTAGACCTCGTGGTTTTTTCTCTTTTCGGGTTTTTCACGTAAAAATTTATGGTGTCTCTACTAATTCATTATTTCATCTGAGTGTGCGCTCAATATTGTACAAAGACAAAATGATATCCACCACTCCACCGCCGCCAATTCTCTAGTGCGCATCAATGATGACTCATTTTATGAATTTATTTTGTTTTGCTCTTTCTTCTTCCTTCTTGAATATGGTTGTTTCTTATTATTTTTTTAATTAAGTTTATTTATAAAATAAGATTATTTTTAAAACTCAAAATGTTTAAATTTGATTTGAATATTTTTAGAACTATATTAGCTTTTTTTAAAAAAAACTTATAAAATAGCATGCTTGTCAAACATATTGTTAAAATCAAAAGTAAAAACAAAATTGATAACAAATGAGCCTTTAAAATATAATTTTTCAGGCTTGTTAAAATGCGCTTTAAAAAGAATAATAAAGCTCATTTAAGTACTTAATGTGCTAACAAATAATAAAAACTTAAAAATATAAATAAATAGCTATAGTGTCGCTCCACATGTTCTCTCTTATTAATAAAAATGTGTATTGCGTGTGCTCCATCAATGTTGCACATCAATGTTTGTGTTTGGTCAATGGATGACATGAAAATTGCTATATGAATTTTATTTTTAATTTTTTTTAAGAATTAAATAAAAATTGGCTAAGATAAATAATGGGGGTGAATACACATAGGACACCAAAAATATTGCTATTTATAAAATAAGCACCCTGTTCATCCATTTATCAAAATCTCACTAAAAAATCAAAGGTCATGATAAAGATCTAATGCATATTTTTTTATTTTATCAAATTCATAAGGGTTTGATGGTGACATGACATGCATAAATGCATCGGTTTCATAGTTCAAAAAGTCACATAGGTGTTTAATTTGCAAATAAGAGTTTTTCATGTGCTCTATATGTAATATTTCCTATAAATAAATTCTGTTTTTATTTTATAATTCATTTTCTTGAGGACGAGGGAGGCTAAAAAACGGCAAAAACAACTTCCCGCCCTTTTATTCCCGCGCGCTCGCTTCCCTACCAGCTCTAAACCCTCGCCGCGTCGCCAAAAGAAGGAGGTCGCGGCGTACAGTCCAGCGAAACTCCCATCTTTTTCCCCCTCCGGTTCCTCTCCTACCAGAAGCCATTGAGGATTGAGGAAGGCGAGCCTGTTCGCGCCATTCTTTCTGTTTGCTCTTCCCAGATTTATCAAAGCCGCGGCTTTAATTTGTCCAAACTGATCGTCTGGCAGGATTTAGTCTAAATCCAGGTTATATACTGGTCTAAATCCGTTGCCAGAGAGACCCTAAACCGGCTTTCGCCTCTCCTGCCCTAAACCCTCGACTACATCCTTCCCCTCCCGGTTTCGCCCCAAAACCATCGACTTTATGATTGAACCTTTGCGATACACCCGCCGTCATAGCTAACTGGAATTGGGAAGGCAGCGACGGGATCGTATTCTGGCTCACAGAAACTACTGAAACTATCATCTTTCTCATCCGATCCGCTTCTACCAGAAACCATTGAGAAAGGAAAGCCTCTTCGCGCCATTCTTCCTGTTCGCTCATCCCGGATTTACTAAATCCGCCGATTCACAGGATTTATGAGAGTTCAGGATTTACGGAGGCTTTTTTTGCCGTTTGGCAGGAGTTAGATTGAATCCTGCTTAAAACCGGCTGCCAAACAGTCCCTACAAGTCGCAACAGGCGCCTGCCAAGGAAAATTCGCATTTTACTCAGATCTTTGCTGTCGGCATCCATGGATATCTCTTCCATCGCCGCTAGGCTCGGCCACCCCAACTCAAAAACTCTCATTCGCAAGGCTGAAGAGATCCGCCGTCTATCCGATGTTCAGTTCGATTCCTCGATCATGGGAGTGGTAAGCATCTTATTTCAGCTTTTCCGTCTGACAGTTTGTGTGCTATAATTGGCGCTTTACTTGATGTCAATAGGGGGAAGTCGTAAAAGCAATTGTTTGCGTGGAAATCGCTGCTTCTCGGTACGGATTGAGGACCGTTGCCCTTTGCCTATTTTTATTTTTCTTTCGAATCATTTAAGTTGATAATGGTGAAAATTTACTTTTAGGTTGCAAATGATATTTGATCGATCGGCGGCAATTCGGTTGAGTGGAATGTCGGAAAAGGCTTACATTAGATGTTTCAATGCAATGCAGAACGGGATTGGAGTCAAGTTGTTTTCTTTCTTTTCTTTTATTTTGTTTTTTTTCCTCTTATATATTTACTTCTTTTCTTGGATCAGATTTTTGTGTGTTTTTTTTCGGGTGGAAAGCTAAAACAAGCCTTTGACATTTGAATTCTTCTGCAGGGCGAGTTTGGATGTTCGGGAGCTTGCGATCCAGTTCGGTTGCGTGAGGCTTATTTCGTTTGTGCAGAAAGGATTATCTCTGTGAGCGACCATGTTCTCTTCTTTAATATTAGTTCTTTTTTTTTTAATGAATTCTAACAACCTTATTAATTCTCCTGCTACATCATTAGTTTAATCCAATGCTTCGAGCTCATTATGTTTGATTTTTTTGCATAATTAGGCTTACATATTTACTATATGACCACTATTTTCAGCTACAGAGAGAGATTTCTAGCCGCACTACCAGCCTCTCGCAGAGCAAATACTGACTTCAGCCGTCCTGTCTTTACGGCAGTTGCATTTTATCTATGTGCAAAGAAACACAAGGTAATTTTTGAATTGACACTCTATTTCAATTGAAGTTTATGTATGTTTATCTTGAATGCTATTTTATCATACAGCTCAAGGTCGACAGGTTTAAGCTCATTGAGCTTTCTGGCACATCCGAATCAGAATTCTTAACTGTAAGAATTAAAGCCAGGAATTGACGCCACCCATCTTCAGTTTACTGTTTCATGTTCATTTTTTCTCATTTTGGTTCCCTTGATACAGATTTTGAATTCCATGAATGATTTATGCTTTGATGTTATTGGAATCTCAAAGGAAAAGAAAGACGTGCGGGCTGTGAAAGGTCACCGAGGTACTTCCTTTTCTCATAAATTGAGTTGTGACTTACGTGCTGTGTTTTTTATGAACACATCCAATTATTGCACTCTGATGTCATAAATCTTATATATTCTCTTAAAATTGTAGAACTGTTAGAGACATTGCCAAGCAAAATGATGAGACAGGATGATAGTGATGTCTCTGATGATTCTTCCATAGACGTTGAAAATGATATCGAGGTATGTAATGCTGTTTGAATTTCTTTTTAAATAAAAACATTTATAGTTGTTTTTTTACTTATCTGAATGCATTCATGTAAGCATTACGTATCTAGCTAGTTTTTTTAATGAAAGGCTTAACTTTGCATCAATCTGGTCATTAAGACTATTATTCTAGAAATCATCTAAATGTTCATACTGTCAATGCATTACCATGGAATTTCTTTCTTCAATCCAACCTCACTGATCATGGTTTCTCTAACTGGTATAGTCTATTGTTGAAATCATTACTTTGTAAGTTGAAATTAATTGTTATTTAAGAGTTTCAAGTCATCGTGCTACTTAAACTATAAAAATCTCCTCATTGTGCCTAATAAATAAATATATTTAATCATTTTGAATGTTGCGTGTTATGAAATTCTGATGTATGGGGCTTCAATGATATTATATAAGAGTTTTATAGCATTCTCAATCACATATCTTTAAAATGGATGCAGCTTCCTTGTTATAAGAAGCGGAAGTTGATGGAGAAAAAAGAGTATAATGAGTGGAAATCCTCAGTCATTTCCTCAAACCAAAAAATCAAAAAAGGTTTTTTTTTTCCCTTTCTCCAATTTCTTTTTTGCTTATTTTGTTAAAGTTGAATCTTGGGTTCATAAATTTTTTAACATTTTTTTCCATTTTTGACCAGCAGCTCCTGCAAAGCGTTCCAGGCAAACTCAACTCAACTTCCCGGGAAAGCTCCAACAAGAATTCCAATGAATTGTCTCATTTTTTTCTATGTATTTTGCTGAAATTTTGGCTCATTTATTTAAGGATCAAATGACATCATATGCCTTATGCTATAGAGCTTGAAAGTGGTGGCACATTTTGCCATAATGGATATACTTATTTTAAATATTGGTAAATAAATTTTTTGAATCTTCAGACTATTCATATAATCATTGTCAATTTATTTAAGAGTATATATTCGAGTGGCATGTGACTATTATTTAAGGAAATTATTTGTGATTTGGAACTTATTGGATTATTTAGAGAATGAAACTTAGCTCACATGCTTTTTTGGGGGTTTAGTACAGTCAAAACACGTTTAATAAAGATATACAAAATGTTATGTGTTTTAATTATTTTCATTCTCATCAAACCAAGGAATCGATACTATAATTTTGATTTTCATGTTAACTTTTTGAGTATTTCAATAAATATTTTCAATCTTTTCAAACCAAAGAGGAAATTGATATTACTCTACAAAAAGTACACCAGAAAGTTGAATTAATTGGTATGTTCGTTATGAATATATATAAATACTCATCGGAATTGATCTTCCACTTGCTATTATTGCAAATAATAGGCCACGTATTGCAACGAAGAGGTTGTCAATTGAGTACAAGTAATGATATCAAATTAAATTTTCTTCAATCCAGCATCGACAATTCAACAAATAAATTATCAAATTGAAGAGAACACATTACAAACATTGAAACTTTTGAGAACCTCTATGATAAGCAAGTAGATTATCTTCTACTTTAAGGCATAAAGAATCATGCCTTTGTTTGTTACTAATAGATCCTTTTTTTTTCCTTATGAAGTAGAACAATCAGGCATATGAAGATTTAAAACTTAGTTATTATAACTTAAGAAGAGGGATTTATTTCCTTCACATAGAGTTTCAGATTACATAAAGAATAGGATTTATTGGATGAGGTAAAGAATAAAGCTCCCAATGAATAAAATAATAATAAAACCAATATTTTAAGTAATCAAATTCTTCAAAATAACATACAAATTAAAGCTATTATTCTCATGTTCTCCATGACTTCATTCTCTCTCTCTCTCTCTATAATAATCTTCTCTACATATATGTATATAATATATATGAACAACATAAATTACATCGCCAATGGCTTGTATACAATGTAGCATAGGTTGTGGATTATAAAAAAAAAGCAGAGATAACCCTAAATAAAATAAAAAAAATTGTCAAAGGCGAAATGGTAATTACACAGGAAAAAAAAGAAGCAAGACTGGTGAAGTTGACAACAAAAAATCAGGCATTGACCTCTGAAGTAGAATCCCACAAAAAATGACATAATGGTTTTACACGTTCTCCAATACCAAAAAATGTTCGCATCGCTAAAATATAGATGAGAATTTTGTAACATAAAACATGAACGAGGAAGTAGGTTAGTTTCCCACCTTCGACAACACATGCAGTACCGTTGTTGCTCAAAGCCTCATGGAAACTATACATCTTGTTAGCTGCTGTCTTTCATTGCAGCCCTTCTGAATCACAATACCTTCACAACAAGCTACTTCTGAAGATTCAAAGGGTAGAGAAACCAAGCAAACACTACAGCTCTCTTCCTCAACATACTGGGAGATGTCAATATTGTTCTTGAAATTGCAATAAAAAAGCAATATAGTTACTAGTTACATAATATTATAAAACTAAAATAGATTAGAAGATAATATCTCATATTTCAATACGACTGAGATATATTTAGTTGGATATGATGATAACAATGCAAAAGAGGTTTCTTTACTTCAAGCAACTTTAAAATTTTTGTTTTTCCTTAAATTCTCTAATTGAATAATATGCACTGCATGTACCGAGCCAAAAGGAACACCATTAAAACAAGTTAATATTTAATTGCCAACTTAGAGTGAAGAACATTTGGATTACTTCATTTTGATTTTCCCACCCACAAAACATGTTAATTGGAATACAGACTTCATTTGTTAACACCATGTTGCTATTGTGCTATATTTTTGTTACTTTATTATTATTTTTATGTTCATTTTTACCCACCCGTAAAGACTTATAGATGTAAATGGGATTTGAACCTAAGACTTGACAGATTTGAAACATCTATACCAACTTGACTACAATGTTGTATCTGTTGAAATTAACCATTGTTACTCTCATAAAAAGAACAAGTTGCTTTGCGAGTGTGCTGAACATGCCAATGAAGCCATGAAGGTAGCGTTTGTTAAGTTGTGGCCTAATAACACGCTTCACAAATTTAGTCATTGCTCATCTTTTTTAAGATGTAACTAATATTTACAGTTGTTTCATTGAAGGAGTCATAAAATTTTTTATGATATTTTTAGTTTTCCTAATTTTACTTTATAAAGTGAGGTGCATTATCATTGTGTTGTATCAAAGGAATTAACAGTAATTTTTTTAAAAAAAAGTCAAAGTGAAATTAGCAGCGATGGCAATAGGATGCAGCCATTAATTGGTGAATCAATACACTTATGCACCGGTATTCATGTCTTCGTATTTGAATTAGCTTTTACATATTCCCCAACAATGCTCATGCAGTGTAGAAATTTTTATTATATCCCTTAAAGCCGTGGTTAAATAGATTTTTGAAATCAACCCATATGAAAAATATTGTCAAACAAAGAATGAAGTTATGCTTGTGATTCATTGCCATCTTCACAAAAACTAAAAAATTGTCTAAACTTTGGCCACAAGGATGTGAAACATTTTAGAACAAGAATAATGTCCTTATCCCAAACCTAAGGCTAGCTCATAATTCCAAATGAATTAGGCATGAACATCTGATTGCTTATCTTACATATTATTTATATGTGAATGATAAATACAGAAAAAAGTACATACAAAGAGTCAATAAGTGCATGCCCCTATATTCAACAACTTATGATCCAAGAAGCCTAAGTTGATTATGAATCATTTGATCGTTGATGACAGTCCATCGTTCCATCTGTGCTCGTCCGACACGAGACCAATATGCACTCTCTCTAAGGGTTGATTGAAAATTAGCAATATTTTTTAGAACAGCATGGAAAGAAAAAACAAGAAGACATTCTTGTAGCACCTTCACCTTTGATGAGCAAATCATTCCATTGATCTGAATTACCTCCCTTATGATTACTTCCCTTATTACTTGACCTATCGGGTTTAAGTTGAAAATCTTTCACTAAATCAATCCTCATCTCACCATGCATCACTCTTCTGCAGATTATGTTTAGTAGTTGAATTTTACTAGAACTAACCATTAAAATCTTATCCCGATCATGAAACAGCATAGTCTCAAGCGAATCACTCACTGGACCCGAAAAACCAACTAGATATCCACTTAGTTATCATATTCTCAACCAAGACAGGAAAATCTTTCCCGAGGTCTCGTAACAAAGTTAATGTATCCCAAATCACTATTGGGTTATTCATATTTTCTAAGGATTTCAAAAACCACAATGTATTGGTTTCCCAGCAGGTAAACTCTGGCACAGACAAACAATTTATGGCTTCAAATCTACAATCATTAAGTCTACTATCATTTGGAACCTCTAAGGATTGGCCACCAGTCCAAAAAAACTCAGCAATAGCTCTCTGAGACCTGTAGAAGTCAATTGAACAAATTAAGACTAACAAAATTGAAAATGTTCACCATGTTCTAATAGAAAATGTTTTCCAATGTTTATTTTAGGCAATTGAATGTTATAGTATGCAATCACCTCTTCTCATACATTTGATGCTGAAGATTGGTATCAAAGCTGCTGACTTGTATTAAAGCACTCCTTTATCGCAATCATCTAAATGCACGTAACAATTTATAAGCAACTTTGCATGTTGCAGAGAGAGAGAGAGAGAGAGAGAGAGAAAGAGAGCAATGAAACGTATAGATAACCAGAATTATGCCTATGATACTAATAAATATACCATAATTGTTAATATAGAAAACTATAGAAACACAATTTATATTTTCTTACAGCAAAAACACTAAAAACTCTGCTGATGAATTCTATTTAAGTATACCCTAGAGAACATGAATGCAGTATGCCACTCAGGGACTGAACACTCTTTTAAGTATACCTATAAAAGGAATGAAAATATTTGACGAATTTATGCCAATGTTAAGTATAAAATGATAATAATTGATTGAGATTTACACATGTAATAAACTATGGCGTCAAGTTGCATTCATTTTTTTCTAACCAACATACAATGTTTTCGGGTTGGGGTATTTGTCTTCATACCACAACTTATTATAACAAGCATCTGCTCTCCAGAGGAAAGTGCAAGCCCAAAGCGCATATCAGAAACACTGGGAAGTTGCATATTAGTTTGAAAAGTATGTCAAAGAAAAAAACAATTAAAAAGCCAAAGTATACCTTTAGAATGTAAAATATATAAAATACATATATACTACCGAGTTGAGAGAGAAGGGAAGGGAGAGAGAGAGAGAGAGAGAGAGACCACACTACTCAAAGAGCAATATGCCCAGTTCTTTCCTTTAATTTGTTTCCACCATTTTATACAATCTTCAAACTCAGAATCAGTTCATTGATTTGCATATGAAGCATAAACCGTTTTCTTAAATAATTTTATTTATCAAGTATACCAAAATAGAAAAAAAAACTAAAATGCCAGAGAGGATATGGTCAGGCCTTCAAACACTTAACAATCCATCCCAGAGACATTTCACATGAGAAGATAGGAATGATTCAAAATTAGCTAAGAATAATTATTATTTATCCACTCATGCATTGAAACAACTAGAAAAAATTTTGACGCATCTGACTGATGACCAAATAATTTTAAAAGTTTCTTCAACGCCAGTTTTAATTATGGTCGATGAGCTTTTGGATTTTACATTGGATATATATATATATATATATAATCGTAAAAAATTTTGACGCATCTGACATATGCCAATGCAGTTAACAATTTCTTAAGAAAGTACTATATATATATATATATATATATATATATATGGGCAGAGAGAGAGAGAGAAATAAAAACATACATTATTATAAGATGCTAAGTAACAAAATTTAAAGATAAAGGTGCTTCATACAGGGAATCCCCACGAAAAATCCATCTGCAGATTGAATTGTCCTACATCAATAAAGTTTTTATAAGCACGTTGAATCTCAGAAGCAATTCATAT